CACTCATGTGGCACATGGGTTATCATGGACATCAGGCTCTGCCACAGAAAATTGTCACCCACTAATGAAATTTATCTTTTTGGTTTCATAGTTGCAATTGAAAATGGGGAGCACATCCATTAATGAGAAGTTTTTAAGCTGAATTAGCTAATGGCTTGAGGGGAAGATGGAACATTCTGAGAGATTTGTATGGAGAAATTGAAGTCAGCTCACAAGGCATGCCAACTGATCAAGCAAGCAAACACATGCAATGTATGTATGTCAGGTCTGTGTTTGTTCCAAACACATTTTTATTAATTAGATAACACCTAATTCAATGTTGTGTGTGAATACACTGTTCGAATTTTGTTTATAAGTTGGACAACTGTGTAGCCTCCAAAGATGGCGTGGACCCAGAGCCCTGGGATTCAGCGAGAATTCACTTCACTTCTTGGTCAGAAAATAGCCCGCCAAAAGGAGCCCACTGACTGCTGACAGACTGCGTGGCGCAGACCAATCAGAAAACGATACGCTGACTAAAGGGACTTGGGGGCGGAGAAAAGGGAAATATAAGGTCTGCCTCCTCCTGCATTAAACGAGCCTGCAGCACCTCGCCTAGTGCTTGCTTCTCCTGACTCCTGGGGTCTGTGTGTGTCATGACTCTGCGCCTCTTGCTTCGCCCCCCCCAATCGGCAGGGGACCCGATCCAGGTCAGGGTCTTCACAGCTGGCCTGAGGAGAACCCACAACACAACTGGAGCAGCATGGGTACCATAAGGTCCCACAGGATCTGGCTTAGCTCAGATCTGAAATGGCCACTCATCCATCAATGACCTTAAACAAAACCTAGTTTCCCACACTTCAGTACCGTGGTCTGTGGGGTCTGTGGCTAGAGAAGACTGTCAGTTGCTATTCTCAAAGGCTTGTCTGGACCCAAATGTGCTGACCCAAAGCAGTCAAATGACATGGGGTGATTGATGCTGGGGTCAGCATCCCTCCAATTAGTCCTTCAAAGGCCTCTGGGACCTTCTTACCTTGTCATCCCTTTCATGGAGACAGAAATATCCAGGGGTGAAATGTCCCACACCCTCAGAAGCCACAGCAGAGCCCCTGCTGCTCTTATAGCCCACAAACTATAAAGCTCCCCTGAAGTTGAGCATTTGGTGGTTAACCTCACGTTCTCCTTCTGCAGCTGACCTTCACATCACCAGCCCTGGAAGCCATCTTTCCAAGTGCAGTCCAGCATATCTCCAGAGAAGACTCTCAGGATTCCAACTGTGTCCGTCGAGAGGACAAACACCTTGCACAGATGTGGGCTCTGTTTTGAACACCCATTTGCACAGGCCCTGCTGATGATTATATTTGGTTCAAGAGGCAAACCCCTAAACACAGCAAGTCTTTGGGATCTAAAAACACTTGTGGAAGGCTGGATACTGATTTTTGCAATTTGCAAATGGCCCTAGTCACCATGGAAATCATGTTCTAGAATGACACTAAGCAAGGCAGGTGTCTGTTGGGAGCACTGGGCTGTCTTCCCTGCCCTGAGTGCTACATCTTGCTCCTGTAAATCTGAATTGCTCTTACACCTTGTTGGTGAGGTCAGCTCATCTGGCCACAGTGTCATGGTGACAACAGAGGCAGCAACAGGGACAGAGGTTGATACTCATGGACACTTGTGGTCCTAAAGCCTTCTTTGTATTTTTATTACATTTTAATTAACTTTGTGTGTGTGCATGCTTGTGTGTGTGTGTCATGGTAGCAACAAGCAGGAGCTGGTTTTCTCCTTCTACCCTCAGTACCCCAGGGATCTAACTGGGGTCTTCAGGGATCTAACTGGGGTCTTCAGGGATCAAACTGGAGTCTTTAGGGATCTAACTGGAGTCTTTAGGGATCTAACTGGGGTCTTCATTTAATTAACTTTGTGTGTGTGCATGCTTGTGTGTGTGTGTCATGGTAGCAACAAGCAGGAGCTGGTTTTCTCCTTCTACCCTCAGTACCCCAGGGATCTAACTGGGGTCTTCAGGGATCAAACTGGAGTCTTCAGGGATCTAACTGGAGTCTTCAGGCAAACACTCTCATCCCCTGAATCATCATGTGATTGTTTTCAGATGATCTGCTTTTGTGTGTGTGCATGTTCATGTGTGTGGGTACACATGTGTACATGGTATATATAATTGTGTATGATGAGTATACGTATTTGTGTATGATGTGTGTATGTATATGATGTATTGTAGGATGTGTGTTCATGTGTGTATGATGTATATGTGTATGATATACATGTATGACTGCATGTATTATGTGTATGTATGTAAAATATGTGTGTATGTGTGCATGTATATGATTGTGCATAAATGGTGTTTATGTGTATGTGTGTGCATTTGTTTCGAGAGGATTTTAAAAAATTTATTTATTATTTTTATTTTATTTTATCTTTTTTTTTTATCTTATTTTATGTGTATGAGTGTATTGCCTGTATGTATGTAAGTGTACCTATTGGTACAGGGCCCATGGAGGTCAGAAGAGGGCGTCAGATCCCCTGGAACTAGAGTTATGGACAGTTGTTAGCCACCATGTGGGTGCTAACCACCTGGGTCCTCTGCAAGAGCAGCTAGTGCTCTTAACTGCTGAGTCATCTCTCCAGCCAGAGAGGATTTATTTCCATGGGAACAGACCTGGGTACAGAGAGCATACTTCCACTCAATGAGCTTGGGTGGTAGAGCCAGCACTCAGAAACACACTGACTACACCCGTGCCTGGTGTTCACACCTGAGGTTAACAGGCAAGTATGCTTCAGAGACGCATTGTAATGTGTCAGTCAGTGCCAGGAAGGGGTGTACTTGAGACTCTCATCTATCTGTCTGGCTATGTCTAGCAACAGCAGGTCCCTGAGGGAAGGCAGGGTCTGGGGCACCCTCTGGGACTGCAGTCTTGCCTTTTGCTGACAGACAGGTAAGCTTGGAAGCTGAGGCTCTGTGAACACCCTGGATCTTGCGGACTGAGCTTATTCTACTGAGCCTATGGCTTCCTGGCTGAAGCATTTGTTTCCCCCCTTTCTGAAGGGAAATGTCACATATGGAGTTTGTTTTTTTCTAGCTTACAAGAGCCCCAGGCTGAGAGCAGCATCTGGCTGCTGCTCCCAAGGATCCTGTGAGTTATCCCTCTCTGTCCCTTCTGTCATCTGTCAGGGTGTGGTGAGCATACCAGCCACCTGCTCTAGTGCTGGCCACAACATGGCCTCTAGCAGAGCCCAGCCCTGTGTGACCTCTATTCAATTCTGCTTCAGGGAGGGCTGTACTTACTGTGTTTATCCTGAACTCACTCTTCCATGTTCTGAGATGATTTATGCATGGCTGCTGCAGGGATCTATGCTGAGCTCATGTAGCCCACTCTGAAATGAGGCCACTCCCCACAGGAGACCTCTTCCTTCTCAGGCCTGGCTCTGCTTGCCTCCAGGTATCACCCTTCCTGTCACCTGTCTTCCCAGGGCAAGAAGCTGCCAGGAGACCATGGCTGCTCAGTCTTGCAACTGTCTGTTGCCCTCCTGTACCTTTCCAGGTCCTCAGCTCTACTTTTGGTGTCTGGCTGGGGTGTGGAGACAGTTGATGGTGTCCTTCTTTCCCTTGAACACTCAGCTACGCACTGCTTTTCCTTCCTAGCTCTCTGCTGGACTGGGTTGCCAATCTCTGGCCCTCTGCAATGTTGCACCTACAGAGAAGACTCCACAACTGAGACTTGAAGGGAAGTGCCAACCAAGGCTCTGTGTGGTCCTTAGTCAGTGCTGGAAGCCTTAAATGCTGGTTCTGATATTAGCAAAGGAGTCAGCAGCAGCAGCAGCAGCAGCGATAGATAAACACAGCAGCGATGGGGAAGGCCAAGAGAGTAAAGGTGAATAATCCTTTGTCTGCCATCGTCTTTTTCATCTGGGCTGCTACCCACATGTGGGGTGGGTTGTCCCACAAGAACTAAGGCAATTAAGACAATTCATCATGTGACATTCCATACTCAGTTGATTCTAATTTGTGGCAAGTTAATTAAACGAAATGCATCATTAAAACTTACCATCACAAAGCCCAACAAGAGCACTGAAGCCCTTGAGGAGAACGTCATGGTGTCTGTGTCACTACGTGAGCCTCCCGTGTACTCCAACCACCCCCAGATTACTCATGGTGCGAGATGCAATTTAAAAGCTGAGCAAACAACTGCTATGTGTAGTTTTGAGGAAACCATCAAGAGTCTGCATGTGTTTTGCAGAGGTGAAATTTTTTTCAAGTATTCTCTAGCTGTGGTTGGTTGGATCCACAAACGAGGAAGGATGACTGTAATGTCTTCTGAAACCAATCTTACATAACTACTGAGAGGCCAGTTTAATGCCCGAGGGCATATTGGTTAATTTTTCAAATTGCTGAGACACAATGCCTCACTCGACAAAAGCAACTTAAGGGTTTTCTTTGGCTCATGGTTTGAAGGTACAGTTCATTCTGGTGGGGAAGGTGTGACAGAAGGAGCGTGAGGCAGCTGGTCACATTTCATCCTCAGTCAGGAAGCACAGAAATGAGTGCTGGCACCCAGCTTTCACCTTTATATTGATGGTGTTGACTAGCACTGGAGGAGGCAAGTGTGACATTCCCTCTGGGTAAACAGGAGGGATACCCATGATGAACCACTATCCAACTGAGGGTGCTCTGGTCCACGGGCACTGGCTGCTAGACAAACAAGACTGAAGGACAGCCAGCTTCCTCAGAGTGACTTAGGGTAGGTCGCAGTCTGGGGTCAGTTGAGGGAGGGGCTCTTAAGAGTGTGGTCTCTGCATTTCTATGTCCTTAATTCATCTGTTAATATGAGGAGCCAGGAAGCCCTTTTCTCATTGGGGTGTCACAAAATATTCACTGTTTTTGCAAAAAAATACACCATGATATTGTTTACTTAGTTCTTAGGTTTTGCATGAGTTTCTGACTAACAGGTGTGCCAGAGTGCATGGGGCTCTGATCACACTGCAGCTCCCCGCCAACTGCCATACTCTACCTATGTCCTCTTCCGCTGGACCAGGAAAGCTGAGGCCAGTCTGGGCCAGGTCTCCTCCTTCTTCCTCTGTAAGACACAAACAAAGTCCCTTTTACTTTTGTTCCTGTGTATCATCAGTCACCACCCACAGCTGAGACACTCGACAATCAACAGTTCACACACACTTTCTGTTTCTTCTGACTTGAGTGCTTGGAGTCAGTGTTTTGTACTGAAAACCAAAGAGCAACTGTCACTTTCTGTAACAGCCCCAAGATGCCACATGTGCTTTGTCTCCCATCCAGGCCCCAGCACAGGCAGTACGTGCAAACACATCTCAGTTTTCCTGTCAGATCACTTTGGTTTTATTAGATCTTGTCAGCATCAGCACAGGCTGCTCAGATGTCCTCACTGCTGTCTTCCTGGCTCCCTTGGACGAGTCAAGTCTCAGGGAGTCTGAATCATACTCCCTCCCCCTCCACCCCACACAAGAGATCCTCTCACTCCAGTGACTGTGATTATAACCATGCTTCAGTGTTCCATGTTCACAGCCTGCACAGAGTGTCTTAGCTCCTCCCACCAGTTCATTCTGGGTCAGTTTTGCCAGAGCATCCATTCCTCCTTCTGCAGGAGGTCAGTCTAGATCCCTGCACTAATTTTAAGTTTCTCACTCAACCCGGCACATCAGAGATGCTGCTGTCAGTGTGGATCACCACATACACACATGGGGATACTGGGTGGGAAGATGAAAGGGTGTGTTCTTATTCAGTTATTCCCTGAGGAGACGGAATCAGGGTCATCTGAGTCAGACCCCCATCCTGAGTTCGTCACAGCTTACCGGAGTCTGGGCTCTAGGGACATTTTGTTCCCATGTATGCTGCACAATCCAGAGTTCAGTGCCAGGGCACCCTGGCCTACACTGATATAGTTGTCAGTGTACAGTGCTAGTCTGAACATGGAGATGCAGTTCCGACAGAGGATCTTCTGTAGCACATTACACATGTGATTATGTCTTTACGCAAAGGATGTGTACGTAAATGATAGCATCTACACGCAGACAGAAGTACCCACCTACACGTAATCATTCTAATATACTTCCATAAATACAAATGTATTTTTTTTGAGTTAGGGTCTCCCTGTAGCCCCAGCTGTCCTGGAACTCACTATGCAGACCAGACTGGCCTTGAACTCACAGAGGTCTGCCTGCCTCTGCCTCCCGAGTGCTGGGATTAAAGGTGTGTGCTACCACACCTGGCCAAATGTATTTTTAGACTGAAGTATTTGTGGGTCATTCCAACATTGGTGGAGAGACTCTGAGTTTAGGCACATACTCACATCCCCAGGCATTGAATATTGCTAATCATGGGAGAGTCTGAACAGAATCTACACACACCATCACCACCCTGAGCCAGCACATCGCCACCCTCATCTCCAGTAGCTCCATGGAAGTTATGGCAGGAAAAAGGCAGGTTTGTCATGGAAGACGCTGAGGACAGAGATGAAGTAGACTTTCATTTCATGGGATCTCCCAACACTAGAACAACATGTGTTTACAGTAACCAACTGTCTGAACCAGATTCAATGTTTCATAAGCTAGTTTATTGTCACTGCTTGGCATCTACCTGTGAACCCTTTATGCCTGGCCAACAGCACTTTCTGCACACTTCACCATGTTTTCATTGATTTGTATTTTAGGTGTACGAGTATTTTGCCTCCATGTATGTAAGTGCACCATGGATGTGCAATGCCTATGGAGGCCAGAAGAGGTCATCATATCCCCCAGAACTGGAGTTATTGATTGTTGTTAGCTTCCATGTGGGTGCTGGGAATTGAAACTGGGTCCTCTGCGACAGCTGCCAGTGCTCTTAACCGCCGAGCCATCTCTCCAGCCCTACCCCATGTGTTTTCTTATTAGTGAACTGCTGCCTACTATGGAGATGGTGGGTTCAGGGACCACACTAAGGACAAGAAACCTAGATCCAGTACCAGCCACTTCTAACAAAGTACAGTTTCCATGGAGACCACTGCTACACAGTGTTACCTTAAAGTCAGATGGAATTCTGTTCTGGACCTTCAGTCTCAGATCTCACATTTCACTCAGTTTAAAAACAAAGTAAGAGCTTTTATGGAAAGGATTTTAACTTGAGCTAACATTGCATTGTCCAATGCTCAGCTAACAACAATGTAAGAATATGGGCAGAGTGCACAGCAAGGGTAACAGGCTGTGCCCTGTACCAGACAAGGTTGGTGTCACAGTCCTACAGCATCACAGAAGGAGAACCTGATCATTCTGAGAACAATACCCCAATGATAGTGGGTAGGTGAGCTTGCATTTTAGGCATAGGAGTGACTAGCTATATAATTTATCTTGGCCTTGTTAGTCAGATTGTGGTAATGGGAAGGGCTTGGTATGTGACAAACCCTTTCAACAGTAAAAGCAACATCCAATCAAGTGTGGTGACAAATGTCTTTAATCCCAGCACTCAGGAGGCAGAGCCAGGTGGACCTCTGTGAGTTTGAGGCTAGCCTGGTCTGCACAGTGAGTTCTAGGACAGCTGGAGCTACATAATGAGATTCTATCTCATTTGTTTTAAAGCACTACCCAGAAGGAGGGTGAGTGTATAGAAGGTCTCTATGTTTGGTGTCACCTCCTGGTGGACAAAACATAGCTTGGTATGAATATAATATGACCCTTCCTTATCTAACAAATGCTTTGGACTTTCAGGTCAGAATTTGTTTTCGCCATATTCTTACCCAGAATCCTAATCTATGCAGGCAAATGTCCTGCTCAGACTGAAAGTCACAGAAGAGATGAATGTCCTTGTTCTGCCTTCCCTACAGTCCCAGTGTCTTTGCAGTGGGCACTGATAAATGTGGGAAGAGTGGGCTGATGCACAGAGGATGCACTGGCTCTAAGTTAAATGACTATTTAATGATATCAGGGAGCCCACATCTGCCCCTTTCAGGGCTTAAAGATGTGTGAACACTGGCTGTTCAGTTGATCTCTCTCTTGCCTCCACATATGTTAAGAACTATTTCGCTCCAGCAATAATACAAAAGATGAGCAGTCCAATCTAAGAAGCAAGCTTGGTCGGGGCAGAAGAACAATAGTGCCATTAGCAAGGCTCTCAGGCATTCCAAAGCAGGGTGATTGCGAGCCTCCTCCACTCAGCCTCTTCATCTTCTCATGTTCAAGACCCATAGATCCAAGTCAGGAGGGGCTGTGAGACTGCGAGATTAATCAGTGCTCTGAAATTAATAGCCCCTACATCTGACACCATACTCAAATTTCTGTCACATTTTCTGAGCAAAAATAGCAAAGTGCTTTTGACTGAAAGTTCTGGAAATCACCCACTTACACATTTGAATGCATCTAACACTTGTTATTGAGTATCCAGTCCTCCCTGTAGATACTTCACTGTCCTGACTTGATGGGTTTTCTCTCTTCATATGGCTGAGCTCACTTTGTGACTTATTTTTCTTGCACACTGCAACTTAATGTCGGCTGTGTTTGGCAGAGTGTGACCAGGAATCCTGTGAACCTTTTCTGTGTGGGAATGAGGCCTTTCTGCAGTTTTGTGTCACAGTCCTCTTCCAAGGGTCAAACTCCAACTATATGTGTGCAAAGTACTTCTCCAAGATTGCAGCGGGAGCAAACTGTGGATGAGGCATTTCCGTAGCATCTGTGTGGCCAGAGAATGAGACTGTATCCTCTGGAGACTGGTGATGCGGTTCAAAGACTTCATTCTCTAAACATGTAATACATGCATTTTCTCCTCCCTCCGAACATGTAAGGTACATTTTCACACATCCCTGAGGCCACCTGCAAGTTATAGGCCAAGGCTCTGTTGAACCCTTGAGGTTTCTACAAAGTTCTGGCATGATTTAAGATGGCACTAACCAGACCCAGGCTCTATTAGAACACCACAGGGTGCACTGTACATGCCTCTACTAGTCACAGGATGAATCATTCACTGATGTTAGCCATTTACACTCTTGAAGGGGAATGAAGATGGTGAATTCTCAAGCAAAGAGCACAGTGATTCTGTAAGCTCAATCCTCTAACCACTGGACCACCACGAGGCTGTGTCACTGATGATTCCAGCAAAGAAGATGTAGATCAAAGAGGTTAACCACACTTTCTGAGGGCACAGGCACAGGTGTCACTGGCTGCTTTCACACTCTGGCCTCTTCTCTATCATCTACACGAACCCCATGATGATGCCACTGACACCAGTGTGGTGCTGGAGAGTCTCCTGGGGTCTGTGAGGACTGAAGTGGCATGAACTACAAATCTTTCTGACTAAAAGGCAAAAGAGATGAGAGGAATGATGTGAAGTAGGGAGGTGACAGATGGGCCGGGAAATCACTTCTAAGATGGAGGCAGACTCTCAGGGAAGCAGTGAACACTACAGTTCTTTGCCCAGGCATCTCTGGGAAGGTGGTATAGGTGGCACCTCACTGTCTCTGTGTATAGCATGTGTCCAGACACCCTCTGGAAGGTGGTATATGTGGCACCTCACTGCCTCTGTGGACAGCATGGGCCCTGTGTCCTGGCATCTCTGAAGGCTGTAGGTGGCCACATCACCATCTTGGAATGATCCATTCCTGTCTTGACATCAGCAGCACCTAGAGCTCATCCTTTGCCTTCATAGCTCCCAGAGGGTCCTGTTGGGTGCTTGATGGCCATCGGTATCATGTGTGGTGCATAAACTCTGAGGAACATCTGAGATGACTGAGTTGGGTAATGAGTAAGTCAAAGTGTTCATCTTGGACACCAGATACTGTAGGCACCAGGATGATACCCTACAGGGACTGGGGTAGAATCAGTGACCAGAGCAATTGAATGGGCCTGGGTGACAGAGGCTGGAGCTGCTGTCCCTGGAGCAGAGTTGTCCATCAGCATGATACAGGTGGTAGGTCCTATGCACAGAGGCTTTCAGCAGCGTGAGGCCAATATTTATATTTCAACCACAGCACAGTGATGGAGTAGGCTCCAGACCTTCCACATGGAGCTCACAAGACCATGCCATTGCCTCCTGACTGCATGCTTGACCTCTGGTGGAGAACCCACCCCCCAGATGGGGCTG